AAAAAAAGATATTCAACTTAGGAAGAAAGGAACCGTTTTTGGAAGGAGTGATTCCTGCACCTCGTGAAGCAAAAGCAAATATAACATCATAGGCAACAAGAGCAAAACTTGGATTCATCAGAAATCAAGAGAAATACTTTCTATCCTACTAAGTTAAATTCATCAACTGGTTTGATTAAATGCTTAAAAGATAATAACTTTATTATAACCATAGCTACGTAATATCCTGTTTACCTTTGCCTATCTTGCAATAATTTGAACGGATGAGCCAGAATTGGGTGAGTCTTCAAGTCGCATGCATTTTGGAGACGAGCAAGACACTGAGCCATCAGCCAGCATCCTGAAAGAGTAAAACAAAATGCTAAATTACGGAAGAAAGGATGCATACATCGACATTTCGATATATAGAAGGGGAATCATAGGGTCAGAGCGTTGAGGCAATTTGTTTTCTTTCACCAGAACAAGAACAGCAAAGAAAAGCTATAACTTCCAGATAAAATGGTTGATAAAATGTCTATCTGCTGAGAGTATTTAATTACACCCGTCTTCATCCTAGCAAACTAAGTAGTAAGTAATGACTACATAAGAGATCGTAAAGAGAAAAAGATATAGATCTTCATAAGCACACCTAAATCATTTCGAAACAACAAAACAATGTGTCTACCTCTTAGCAGCCCTTCTCCGCACGCCGTTAGCCGGAGCACAAGCTTTTGGGTCCTCAATAATAACCTGGAGAAAGGATTTTTTACGTACGAAGTGCATTACTTTGGTAATGACTTCAGAAAATGTTGAATTCAGTTTACTGGATTATTCGCATTAAGATAACGCAAGAATATGAGGAATCAATTAAGTGTAACGGACCTCTGTTTTGTCATAAAGTTTAGCGTTCATTCGCAAGCGCTGCAGAGCTGCCCACTCCCGCCTGCTGTGCTTTTGAGCATCTATATCACAGTTGTTAGCATAAGTAGAAAATGAATGTCGAACAGACGGGAAGAAGTCTGTGAGTTTATGTGACTGAAATATCCATTGGTAAGTTGAAGTGAAAAAAGGCAACGCAAGGAAGAACCAAAAACAAATTGTTTTCCATAAAAAGGAGCTTTTCTTACCGCATTTCGAATCTTCTGACTTCTTCTTCTGCTGCGTACAAGCTCTTGAGAGAAACGCTTTGATGTCCAACCACATTCTCGCATCAAAGTACTCTTTAAATAAAGCGTAATTAGAATTGTGAAAACACAAATGATGGGAAATTCTAGGATAGAGGGACAAATTGTAATTCAAAAAATTTCTG